GGAAGCAATGGCCAATCCTCTGCCTCGGCTGCTGAGGCGTGCAGAGTCTAAGCAGAGAAAAGAAGGGGAAGGCACATGCCCATCAGTTGTCCAGTCTGGAACGCTCCGGGTGGGTCCGCAGGTGGCAGCCCCGATGCAGCAGATGGGGCAAGTTCTCGTGCTGGCGGCCACTAAGGACGGAAACCAAGAACCCCAAGGAGGAGTGGCCACTGGGCAATCGGTTACGGCCAAAACGAGTGCAGAGCCTGCTGTGGTTGTGCCTCCTGTCGCTTCGGAGAAGATAGGACCAGGATCCCAAGGCGGTGGGGAAATTGGGCCCCCGGATGTGACCAATCCTGTCGCACCGCGGGAAGAGCCGACACGTGCGTTGGCGAGCGCGCCCCCCCGTGTTCACGCAGGACACAGCGGCACATGAGGCCGTGGTGGAGACTCAGACTCAAGGGACACCTGGCAACACCCCCCTGGATGAGTGCATGCAATCGATGGATGGCCTCAGGATGACTGGACCCCGCACTGATGGGAACCATGCAGTTCTTGCATGCGATACGATCCACGTACACGAGCCATTGGTGATGCATATGGGCAATCTGCCTGCACAGCGGCCCTCGGATGTTTGTGACAAGGGGACATGTATGGAGATTGTCGTGACGAACGGTCCAGCAATAGGACTGACTACCAAGGAGGCGGAGATGTACGCAAAGCTCAAGGTGTTCTGCTCAAGCATTGTGAAGAAATTGGCCCCACCAATTCTCAGGGAAGTCCAGGCCACCACCTTGCGGGTCGAGGCTGAGCCATTCACACCCAGAAGAACCACTCGAGCTGCCAAGAAATCAGCAGTGCATGTAGCGCCAAGGGCCACGCCAGCGGAGAACGTTCTCTTGCGCACGCTGGGACTCGTACCGGAAGACTTGGACGTGGAAGACGCAGCCGTGCAAGAGCTTAAGGCACTGTTTGACTCGCCTCTTCGCGAGCAGCACGTGTGCGTGATCGCAGCCCTGTTCGGCAAAGAGATGCCGGGGCAGCTCAGTGGCACTTGCTCTGGGGCTGCGGCTGGAATCGGTGCGCACTAGATGTGTGCCGTGCCGGGTGTTGGATGCACATCTGCTCCATGGATACAAACCCATCGGTGACGTGTTGGAATGTCCGAGGCTTGAACAACCCATCCAAGAGACAAGCGGTGAAAGACTTTTTAGTGTCGGTGCGGCCTAACTTAGTGTGCTTGCAAGAAACTAAGCTCGATGTAGTGGATAATTTTCTCATAATGCAATGTTGTGGCCCGTCTTTAGACGGCTTTGCTTATTTGCCGGCGGTGGACACGAGAGGTGGGATCATTCTAGCGTGGGATACCACCGTGATGATGGTGGATAGTATCACGCGCGACACTAACTCCCTTACAGGCTTGGTGCATCCAAAGTCTGGAGAGGAATGGTGGATCACCGTGGTATATGGGCCACAAGGCGACGACCAGAAGACCCTTTTCCTTGAGGAGTTGTGCACGAGGAGAACCACATGTCCGGGGCCGTGGATGGTTCTGGGTGACTTCAACCTAATCCTCCGCGCCTCGGAGAAGAATAATATGAATCTTAATCGGGCCATGATGAACAAATTCAGAAGTTTTGTCGACAGCAATGAGTTGAAAGAGCTCTACATGCACGGACGTCATTTCACTTGGTCCAACGAGAGAGATGACCCAATTATGACCAAAATAGACAGGATCCTCATGTCCGTAGACTGGGAATTGGCGCGGCCTGATTATCTACTGCAGGCGCTCTCGACTAGTGTTTCGAATCATGCGCCGCTACACTTATCGACCAGTGCAACATATTGGCCAAAGAACATGTTTCGTTTTGAGAGCTTCTGGGTCAAATTGGAGGGTTTTGAGCAGGCGGTTCGGGAGGCCTGGGTTTGTGATCACTCCATTGTGGACCCATTCAAGAGACTAGACGCGCTCTTCCGTAATGCCGCGGTGGCGCTACAAGCTTGGGGTCAGAGGAAAGTGGGGAACATCAAACTCCAGATCGCCATTGCCACACTAGTAATCCTCCGATTGGATCAAGCTATGGAATCTAGAGGGCTCACCGAGTTAGAGACATGGCTAAGAAGAACGCTAAAGCTTGCACTTCTGGGGCTGGCGTCGCTTGAACGTACGATCGAGAGGCAAAGATCAAGACATAGATGGCTTCGCGAGGGAGACGCTAACACAAAGTTTTTCCAGTTGGTTGCGAACGGCAGGAGAGCGAAGAACTTCATACCGCAGGTTAAACGAGGAGATGAGATTGCCACTGACCAGACCCGCAAAGAAGAGATTTTCACAGAGGCCTTTCAAAACTCCCTTGGCACAGCACAGGCCAGGGATCACATGCTCAATCTTCAAGAGCTAGGCTTGGCGCAGCAAGACTTGAGCAGTTTGGACGCGCTGTTTACTGTCGAGGAGGTTTGGTCTGTTATCAGAGAGATGGCCCCGAACAGGGCCCCTGGGCCGGACGGATTCACGGCTGAATTCTACCAAAAGGCATGGTCAATTATCAAGGATGACATCATGGCAGCGCTCCTAAAGCTTTGCGTTGGGGATGACCGAGGGTTCGCCAGATTAAACCGCGCTCTGATCGTTTTGATACCCAAGAAGCAGGATGCTATGGAGGTGGGCGACTACAGACCGATTAGTCTACCACACAGTTTCTCCAAACTGTTCGCCATGCTACTGGCTAATCGGATTAGGCCTTTCATGAAAGATTTAGTGGCTGCCAATCAGTCCGCGTTCATCCGCGGAAGAAGCTTGCATGACAACTACCTCCTTGTTAAGCAAGTGGCCAGGAAGATTCACGCGAGGAAGAACATAGGTGTGTTCCTAAAGCTCGACATATCTCGTGCCTTCGATTCCCTGTCCTGGCCCTTCTTGTTCGAAGTGCTCGGCGCCAAAGGCTTTGGAGGGAGATGTCTCAGGTGGATAGCTGTCCTGCTGCATACTTCGAGCACCAAAGTGCTAGTCAATGGAGCCCCGGGAAGAAGGATCTGGTATGCAAAAGGGCTGCGACAAGGGGACCCGGTCTCCCCGCTGCTTTTTGTCATTGCAATGGAGGTCCTCACGGCTTTGGTTTCCAAAGCCATGGCTGATGGAGTTCTAAGCTCATACACCGGAATCTCGGCGACCCAGCGACTATCTATATATGCGGATGACGTGGCGTTATTCGTCAAGCCAAACATTCAGGATCTGGGATTCGTCAGGATCGCACTGCAGCTATTTGGAGAAGCTTCGGGACTGAGGGTCAATTACAGGAAATCGTCGGCGATTTTGATCTCGGAGGACCAGGAAGACAAAGCCAGAGTGCAGAATCTGTTGCAATGCCCCATTGGAGAATTCCCGTGCAAATACCTTGGACTGCAACTGGCCATCAAGCATCTCACGAAGGCGCATTGGCAGCCCCTTTTGGATCAAGTGCGGCACTGCCTCCCGGCTTGGCAGAGGGGTCTGCTGCAGCGATCAAGCCGGCTTGTACTTGTGAAATCGGTCATCGCAGCGAGACCTGTGCATCAACTGCTCGCGATGAAGGCCCCTGGCTGGGTACTCGAGGATATTGATGGATGGATGCGAGCGTTCTTTTGGGCGGGGAAAGATCAAGTGAACGGAGGCCAATGCTTAGTGGCATGGAATACGATCTGCAAGCCGACTAGCTTCGGAGGCCTGGGAGTTAAAAACCTGAGACTGCAAGCGCTCGCACTTAGGGTGCGCTGGGAATGGATGAGGCGCACAGACCCTCAAAGGCCGTGGCATGGACTGGGACTCATGGTGGATGAAGATGCGAGGCTCGTTTTCGATAGCTTGGTGCAGATCACAGTGGGCAAAGGAGACAAGATCCTGTTTTGGAGGGATCGGTGGATTCATGGATTCTCCGTCAGGGATATAGCGCCGTTGCTTGTGGCGGGAGTGGAGAAAAGGGTCAGAAACTCACGCACGGTTGCCCAGGCTTTGATAGGAGAAAGGTGGGCACTCGACGTGCAACCACAGACAACCTTCGGAGCATTGCTGCAAACAGTCCATTTGAGACATGCCATTGCGACAGTGCCGAGAGATGAGCTGCTGGAGGACACGTTCTCTTGGCCGCATGATCCATCAGGTTTATACACGGCGAGATCCACCTACATGAGGCTCAACCAGGGTACGATCGTATCACCTACAGCTGTGGCGATTTGGTGTAGCTGGGCGCCATTAAAGTGCAAAATCTTTACCTGGCTTGCGGTGCAGCATCGATTGTGGACATCGGACAGACGGGTACGCCATGGCCTGCAAGATAACCCATCGCCATGCTATACTTGTTTGCAGGATGAGGACACGGCTGAGCACATCTTGGTGCAATGTGTCTATGCTAGACAAGTGTGGCATAAGTGCTTGGACACCCTGGAAATTGACATACCCCACCCCAGCAGCACGGATACTTTTGTCGACTGGTGGCTAAGGACACGAGCTGGATTCCATGGGAAGCAAAAGCGAGGTTTCGATTCACTCATAATTGCTGCGGCTTGGTCGCTATGGAAACAGAGAAACGCTAAAGTTTTCAACAGATCGGAACAGGTTAAGGACTACAATGAGTTAGCTAGAGCCATCCTTGAGGAGATTCGTGATTGGCATATTGCAGGTGTTGGAGTGGGTGGATTAGAACGTTTTGTGAGAGATCACGATTGATCTACCGTAGGTGTGAGTGGGTGCTTGGGTGATCGATGTTCGCATTGATTGCTCGTCTCTTGTAAAACTTTTTCTCCCTTCTATAAAAATACGGTACGCTATTGGCGTACTCTCGAAAAAAAAATTTAGTTTGCTCCACATCAGCCTGTGAGTCCACCCCACCTCAAGTATTTTTTCGTCCTCCGCCACTTTCTACATAGATACTACAGACTTTCATTCCGAATCGAAGCACGAAATTTCTCTCTACAAAAAAGAAATGCAAAAAATAAAACACTCAAAATTGCGAGTACGCTGCCAAAAGCCCCAAACCCAAGCCGGCCTACAGGCTTCGCAGCGGCAGCAGGCGCACGGGGACGCCGTGGCGCGGCCGGAGGGTGAGGACGTTCACCGGCGCGTGGCGGTACTCGTCAGAGATACCGAAGCGGAAGCTCGCGAGCAGCATGGCCAGCACGATCTTGGCCTCCACCATGGCGTACGCCTGCCCGACGCAGTTGCGTGGCCCGGCCGCGAAGGGCAGGAACCGACCCGCTCCTGGCCGGGCGCGGCCGGGCGCGAACCTGTCCGGCCTGAACTCGTGCGCGTCCGCGCCCCACACGGCCTCGTCGTGGTGGATGGCCAGCAAGGGAATCCACACCGACGCGCCCCTCGGCACCCGCAGCTCGCCGCCGAGCGTGATGTCCTCGAAGGCCATCCTCGGCAGCAGCGTCGCCGGCGGGTACAGGCGCAGCGTCTCGTTGATCACCATCTGCAGCTGCACACGCATCCACGTGTTAAACATTGACGTGTACAGTGGCGCCGGAGTGCATGTGTTTCGACGGTGTCAAATGGCTTACGACGGCGAGCTTCGGGAGGTGATCTGCGGCGGGTGGAGCGTGGCCACAAACTTGGGCAACCTCGGCGCGAGCCTTGTCCTGCCACTCCGGGTGCGTGGCAAGCAGCATGATGGCCCAGGTGAGGAGCAGCGCCGATGTCTCGTGGCCGGCGAAGAAGAAGGTCTTGCACTCGTCAATGATCGTCTGGGCATCGTACCCCAGCTCGCCGTGGCCGAACGCGTTCTCCTTCTTCTCCATCTCGGCCAGGAGCATCCCGAGGAGCCCCCGGCTGCACGCCTCTGCTGACGGCCTCCGCCCCTCGTCGGCGATCTCGCGGTTGCGCTGGATCGACTCCTTGAGCACCTGCTCTAGCTCCCCGTTCAGCCGTTTCATCTCTCTTCTGTACTTGCTCGGAAAATACCTAAAAAAAACCGTAGTACTCCCTTTGTTTTTATTTAGTTCGCATATTAGCTTTGGTCAGAGTCAAACTTTACAAACTTTAACCAAGTTTATATACAAAAATATTAAGATATACAATAACAAATCAACAATATTAAATTTATTATTAAATGTACTTTCACATTGTATAAATTTATTATGATAAATGTCTATATTGTTTTCTATAAACTTGGTCAAACTTTATAAAGTTTGACTTCAGTCAACTCTAATATGCAGAGTAAATAAAAACGAAGGGAGTACTACTTTAAACCACGACAGAGAAAAGGAATGCAGGATCACCATGAAAATGCACTTAGATATTTTCAAAAATGAATAAATAATTTGTGGTGAGGTGATGTTTGATTGATGACTCACTGGCTACCGGGGACCCAGAGGTAGCGGCTGGAGCGTGCGGTGAGCCGCTGAAGCTCCTCAATTAGGTGGAAGATGCGCTTGCCGGTCTCGTAGCTGGTGTCGAACTCGGTGCGCGCGATGACGTCGCCGGCGAGCCTCGTCATGTGCGCGCTCATCTCCACCTCGTTTCCGCCCCGCGCCACCGCCTCCTGCAGCGCTCGCACCGTCTGCCGCGTGCACTCCACCATGTGCCCGACCCTGCCCTTGAGCTTGTCAGCCATGAAGGCGGGGGCAACGACGTGGCGCTGGTGCGACCAGGTGGCACCGTTCGCCATGAGCAGGCCACGGCCGATGAAGTGCTTGGCGCCCTGCCGCTGCAGCCACGATTTGCCGGTCACGTGCGCATGCTTCGACGAGAGCAGCTCCCGCACCATGCCGGCGTCCGTCACGCACACCCGTGGCTCGCTCCCGTACCAGTAGACGAACAACCTCCCTGCAGATAGGAAAAACCGAGCTCCGGTCAGACTTGGCAGGCGGGTCATGGCCGGCCAGCGACGCGATTAACATACGTGGCCCACTGACCGAACTTCTTGGACCAGAGAACGTAGTGCGGCAGGAGGCGGCCGACGATATTGTGGCTGAGAGAGCCCATGTCCCCGGCGGTGGACTCGGCGACCAGGGCGGAGACGTCATGGAGGTTACCGACGAGAAGGCGTGGCGTGGGGCCGTGGACGCCTTGTCTGGACAAGATCCTCCGGATCCTCGCCGGCGTGAGGTAGTAGCATGAGGCGGTGATCCATACAGCATTGGCCAGCAACAAGAGTGGCGATGCAACGAGCACTAGGACTATGACCGGTACCATTTTGGACAGGAACTTGTCCTTGTTTACATCTGTGCAAGTGCCACCAGGCCCCGTGCCTATATATAAACACAATGGAGTGGTATGCATGCAGCCATATGATTGGGCCAAGATCAAAAAATAGGCACGATATAGCACGTTAATAGTATCACGATATAGAAGGTGTTGGATTTCTCGCATCAATTTTACGTACTTTGCATACTTGTCCCATTAGGGCCTGGTTAAGCATATGCAGGCAAAAAGCCCATCATCTATATGTTCATTGGTTGTCAACATATCCTCTTCTTGCATCGTAGCAACGCCTCTATGAATGTGTTTGGTTGCTCGCATCGTTTGTGCTCATACGAGTGCACGTTGTTTGGTTGCATGCGAGTATTGAGTTCTGATTACCTTGTACCCTACTTGACGAGCTTACCTACTACTATTACATCTTACACACGATCACACCGCACACACCAATGCCACAACACTGCAATGGCGATGAACTGGATGAAGATGATGAATTTCTTCAGCCCAACTGACGATACACCTTGCCAACTTCAACACTGCTGCATGTCTGCATTCGCACAAATTTGGAGTAAGCATCTTCTGGCGCCTGCCTACTCTTAAACCCTCTGTGGTTGTTGTGCTTGTATCCTAAAGCTTGTTTATTGCAAGCTTCTCATGAACTATAAATCCCTGGAGCCCTCCTGATGAACAACGATACCACTTGTACTAGCAGTGCACAAGATCAATAGTTGAAACAACAAGCAACGGAGCAGAAGAGCAATAGTAAGCATGCATGATCATACAACATAACAAGTTCAACCTAGCACTAATATGGTGTCATCCTACCACCACATCCAAAGGAGGGTGTAATCCTACCATCGCAGCTTCATTATCACCTTGAGGGGTCAGTATACACCACCTCACTAAAATACACAGACCATCAAATAGTTTTCAAGCCCTAGCTACACAAAATATACGTCGTCATCGTCATCGTCGTCCTTGTCGCCATCACCATCGCCGTCGAGGATCATGCACACCATCGCCACCACTAGAAGCAACACTAGTAGTAGTGCTTTCCCAGTCAGGTCCTCAGCCAGAGCACCCTGTGGGTGTCTCCCATGGCAACAAACCCAACACCATGGGCTTTGTTGTCCAGCAGGTGGCTCCGGTCAGCCGCTAGGCTCACCTATGCCCGAGAGCCTCTGAGCTGAAGCAACCTTGGTCCATGACAACGCCATAGAGGTCAGGGTGTACGTCGACCGACTTGCTCCCCCTGATGACAGTGGCCACCTTCTTCACTGCCCGAGTCATGCTGCTGAAGACGGTCATCTCGTCCTCCATCAAGGCTCCCCTCTTGCTCTTCCTATCAAGCACTGGAACGTGCTCACCATCCTTGGGTGTCTGGGTGTCTGGATACTCGGGCATAGGTGAGCCTAGCGGCTGATCGGAGCCCAGGGCATGCTTGCCGGTTTCCATCCCGAAGGAAAAGATCAGCTGCATCTGGTGGTAGTTCTGGATGGGTGTGTTGAGGGACTCTGCATCCTTGGGGTGAGCCTAAGAAAGAAACATGACATAGTGGTTACTTAGAATGACAAAGGTTCATAGGCTTAAAAAACTGGTTAGTTAGAATGGAATGGTTTGTGAGTTAACAGCGATGTGGCCTTAGTAGTGCTCTGCCTCCAAAAGGATGGAGCAGGTGCCCTCATCCCATGAAGCATCGCTCAGGTATCTGAGCTTGGGCACGGTGATCCACCTCTGTTTACACTTCCTGAGGTGGTTGTAAACCTAGGTCGAGCTGACCTCCTATAACAAAACTCGAACACCTGCTTTGCAACAACGTTCAAGTGAACCTCCTTGAAGCCCTTGTCAGTCCTCACCCTACTAGCTAGGATCTCACATATCTTGTTAAGCACGAACATTGACAAGAAAGGTTGCCACTTCATGTTGTTCCCCTACCATCCTTCTGCACCTTTGAGGCTGCCGTTTGTTCGATGGCATGAGCTGCAACATTGGGCTGAGCCAGCACAAATGGAGGAACCATAGCGGGCACCTTGAAAACGTCTGAATCAGGAGGCATCTGCTTGATGCGAGGCTGGGAGTCCTCGACATAAGACGCCGGAAATTGGCTATCGGATAGGACGATGACCTAATTAAACTCTTTTGTGTGCATCTTCTACAAACGTAAGCGTCATCAAGACCAGAACACACTACACATCGACAGTAGGAACTACCAGTAAACATGGGCAGATCGAACTGGCACTACCACATGCACACATGGATTATCTAGTTCAGCACAACACAACCAAATACTTTCACGCTAGCATAACACACATCAAAGCATACTACCAATCCATCCATGACCACTAGCTATCAATCCTTGCCGGCATGGAAACAACTCCTAGCATGCTTCAAATCCATCACAACTTGCTACTAGAACATCAGATTCACACATCGGAAGATCTAACCCTACCACATGCTCACAGATCTAGCTAGAACTAGTAGAGAGGTGGGGTCATTAAACTCACAGACGCCATTGGAGGAGTCGTGGAGGAGGTGCTGAACACATCGGAGAAAAGGAGCAATCGACTTGCTGCCGCCATTAACTGATCGCCTGAGCAGTTGCGCAGCTTACCTCGTCGTCGATGTGGAACCGTGACAGAGGGAAAGATCGAGCGGGGGGGTGGGGGGTGGCGGGAGTTTTTCTGTTGCGGTCACCTGGCTATATAACCGAATTGGCTAGCAGTGACGCGAAAATCGCCCCACAACTTTTTTTGGAGATGCGCGCGAGGTTCCACCATCTCCGTGCTCATAAGAGGTCAGCGTCGCGTTCCCCTCCCCTGCATCGCTCGAGCCCGGCTCACTGGAAATTGTCGGTTCATATGGTCCAAGATTCTGATGCGGGCTAGACAACCAAACACCCCGTTTTCTTCCTAGGCGGGCTTGGCTGGGCTTAATGCGAGCAACCAAACGCATCCATAACGCTCTGAGCAGTGTCTCATAAATAAATCAGTATACAATAGTATCTCACTAATAGCATGCTATAGCACGATATAACACACTAATAGCGTAAGTGCACTAGTTTTTCCATTAACCAAGATCTAAAAAGTGATTTTGTGATTACAACTTACTTACTGCATGTATGCATTTTTGTACGACTTTTGGAAGAGTGCATGGAGTAATGCTAGACATAAGGGGGTTTCCGATGGATCTAATGGACTGGTTGACGTGTAGGTATACAATTGGAAATAGGGGAGAGAGAAGGGCCCACCCACGTGAAATTCAAGATGAGGGGGACAGTTAGTTTGAAGAGGCTATTGCCCGCATCCTCCATGTGTTTAGTATTATCGGAGTGTGATGCATGAAATTGAAGAGTTGCTTCAACAATAAGAGACACATTACAAGAAGAGGTCCCGGGTGACTTGGTGAAAAAAAAGGAGATAGTGAAAGCACAAGTGCTCCCTGGGTGATTTTGGTAATTTATGTCAACATATCTCTTGTTGGACTAATACTTTTACCTAGTATGTTTCAGATAAGTTCAACAATGGAGTGGCATGGACTAGAGGATGTGGAATCCCTTCAAGATGCTAAGGACAAAAGGATTGGCTCAAGCTCAAAGCACAAGACTCTACATTTTAATTTTAGTGATCCAAGATCACATTGAGTCTATAGGAAAAGCCAATACTATCAAGAGGGGATGAAGTGTTGCTTAATGGCTTGCTTTCTCAAAGTGCTTAGTGATATGCTCCAAAGCCCTCAACTACTTTCTCACATCCACATATGTCCCAAACCAAAAGTCAAACTCGGACCTACCGAATCTTTCCATCCGGCGCCACCGAGTTCAGATGTCATAGCCACTGCCACAAAACCCTAATCTTTTCGGTCTCACCGATAGGGATCTCGGCCTCACCGAGATGAGATTGTAATCTCTCTATGTATGTCCATTACCAAAATCGGTCCAACTGAGTTTGTGTAACCGGTCCTACCGAGATTACAATGCAAACTCTCTGTTCTTCTTCGTAACATTTCGGTCTAAGTGAGATGAGCGAATCAGTCCCACCGAGTTTGCCTGACCAACCATCTATTTGTCAATTACCAAAATCGGTCTCACCGAGTTTGTGTAATTGGTCCCACCGAGATTACATTATGCCCTAACCCTAACCATATCGGTCCCACCGAGATGACATGTTGGTCCCACTGAAAATCCTAACGGTCACATTATTTCCTAAATCGGTCCGACCGAGTTTCACGATTCGGTCCCACCGAGTTTGGTAAGTTGTGTGTAACGGCTAGATTTTTTGTGGAGGCTATATATACCCCTCCACACACTCTTCATTCGTGGAGGGAGCCATCAGAACGTGCCTACACTTCCAGCATATATTTTCTGAGAGAGAACCACCTACACTTGTGTTGAGGTCAAGATGTACCATTCCTACCACATAAATCTTGATCTCTAGCCTTCCCCAAGTTGCTTTCCACTCAAATCTTCTTTCCACCAAATCCAAATCCTGTGAGAGAGAGTTGAGTGTTGGGGAGACTATCATTTGAAGCACAAGAGCAAGGAGTTCATCATCAACACACCATTTGTTACTTCTTGGAGAGTGGTGTCTCCTAGATTGGCTAGGTGTCACTTGGGAGCCTCCGACAAGATTGTGGAGTTGAACCAAGGAGTTTGTACGGGCAGGGAGATCACCTAATTCGTGAAGATCTACCCCTAGTGAGGCAAGTCCTTTGTGGGCGACGACCATGGTGGGATAGACAAGGTTGCTTCTTCGTGGACCCTTCATGGGTGGAGCCCTCCGTGGACT